AGACGGGACCGGATGATGACGCTTGCCCTGCAGTCTGCGGGCGAAGAGTCGACGACGAGTCGGCCGACGAGTTGGTCTCGTTCTTGTCCTCCGTAAGGGGCGCTTCCGAGATTGGCTGCTCCGCGGGTGCAGGATCTGAGGGAATAGGGTCTAAAAGAGCAGGATCTGAAGGCAAAGGCTCTGCAGGTACAGGCTCCGAAGGTGCGATCTTGGGAGACGGCAAAATATGATCGGACGAGGAGGCCGCGTCGGAAGTCAACAGCCGACGCTCAGAAGGCGCGTGTTCGTACACGGAATGGGTTTGCTGCGACGCGATCGAGCCCTGGCGAGAAGGCGGCGGCGATGGAGTCCGCGCGGGCATGGGCGACTGCGCATTTTTCATCTGCTCTGGGCTTTCGAACAATGGCTCTTGCCATTCAAAATGAGGAGTCTGCAAGCCGGAAAACACTACCGAGTCGCGCGACACGTTGCGACCGCGGGGAAGTGAGTATTTAGCGTAAATATAGGAAGAGACGGCGGACGACGGATCCTCCCCCAGGTAACTAGCCAGATCAGAGTGAGACGGAACCATTATAGGCTTGGGTTTGTGTCCGCGGCTCATGGTCCCGGGCACAACGCCAGACGCCGGCTCCGAGGAGATGGTGGGAATGGGGGCAGAAACGCTGGTGCTCGAGCGACTGAGCGGGCGCGAGAAATTGTACGAGGGACGCGGCAGGTGAGTCCCGTTGTTCGAGGTCTCCGAGCTCAGAGATGGCGAGCGAGGATGAGAACGAACCATGGGAGACATGGGCGAATGGGGCATAGACGCCGCGCTGCACGATGACATTTTGCGTGGTTTGGAAAACATCGACCCCCCATTAGAACTACTGTAGTCATCATCGGAACTCTCCTGCTGCGGAACACGAGAGCTGCTAGACGGTCGCGAAAGAGGCGATGCGGGCGGAGCCAGGCTCCGAGGAACGTTCAGTCGAGAGGCGGAATCGCTCGATGAAGTTGGGGGCGGTCCAGAAGCCTTCTTTGAAGAAACCCCGGGGGGAGCAGCCGCATAGAATCGACGAGGCGGTTCGGGAGCAGCTCGGGGGGACGGTTCCTCGACAAGAGGTTCCGAGCATGGTGCCTCAGGGATTGCCGGTTCGTTCTTGAGGGGCGCGTTGTAATAACTGGAACGGCCGTCCTCGCTAGCGAGATGCGAAACGGAGCTGAGGCGGGGGTGTTCGGATTGCGGGCGAAATTTAGGTTCTTCCACCTCGGGGTTGGCTTTATGCGTCGGTTGTCGGGACAGACCTCGTCCTCCCTGCGAAGAATCTCCGGATGAGGGTGCACGGAAATAACCCGGTCGAGGCTGCGATAGAGAGCGAGCAACTGTAGACGGAGGGAGTCTGCTCATGCGCCGCTCTCTACGGGCGGACTCCTCCAGCTGTCTAGCCAAAAGCCGACCTTGGGCGGCGAAAGCATCTAACGGCGAGAGGGCGGGCGGAACTTCACCATCGTAGTGTTCGATGCGCGGCGAGTGCGCCCCGCTGCGAAGTGTATCATGAGAGGGGGGGCGAGTTTCAAACTGCGGTCGAAAGGAGTCCATAGTATATCGCTCAAGGTACTTTTCCAACGAAAGAACTTTTTTTGGCGGGATATTGACGTTTAAGACAATCGCACGAAGAGAAAGCCGATCAATTCATCTATCGGTGTAATCTTGAGAGCGACGGCAAATTTTAGTATCGGGAGTAAGACAATGGTTGGGGCGAAAAGGAGGACTGTATGGAAGTTCGGGTTATGAGGTCAGCCTAGCGGCGAGAAAACAGGCTATCAGAAAGCGCGAGGTCATACGGAATTGGTGAGACTCTCAAGGGCTGGAGTAAATAGGCGGAGGGGGAGAGAGAAACAAGAAAGAAAGAAAGAAAGAAAGAAAGAAGCGAGCGAACAGCTCCCGGCAGCGAACCAGGCTTAGAGGGCCAGATGTAACAAATTGGGTGGGTGTAAAGGAGCGACTCAGTAGTTTGTACGGGAGGAGATCAATAGGAGAGGCCGAGAGGAGATCAATAGGAGAGGCCGAGAGGAGACCAATTTAGCAAGTCAACAGGTTCACAGGCCAAGAAGAAGAACGACGGACAAGCATCGTGGACTTCCGACTAACTCAGTAGGACAGAGATGAGAGGGGGAGAGGGGAGAAAGGGAGAAGAGGAAAGACGAGGCAGACACAGAGACAGCGACAACAGATGGAGGGGCGAACGATGACAGGAAGGTTCGGTTGGCTCGCCAGACCGTCGTTAGGGATGGCTCCGTAAGTACCTGGTACCCGACCACGGCAGCGAGTCGGCAGGGAGAGCCAGGTACCAGTGACGGGTCTGCGCCCTGACGATCGCCAAAACCAACGAGGGGCCTGCATTGACACTCGTCGATGATACGGTATGTGTATTACACCTGCAAAGTGCCTGTCTGGCAGTCTGCCCGCAAGGGGCCGCCCGTTTCTCGGCCGGTCTTACAGTGCGCCGTATGCCGTACCAGGGGGGGGGGGCCATCATCGCGGCTTGCATTAGGTCTTCATTTATTGAATTATTGATTTCTGAGGTTGAAGCCAAGGCAATGGTCGCGTATTCTTAATTTCTAAAATTTCTAACGACAGGGGGCCACGATTCCAGAGCATGAGAACAGAGAATCAGAAAGGTAACACCCCTCGGGCCTTGGCGATGACGGTTAGTGTGGTTCATCCTGAGTCTACCCAGTGACGAGTGGAGTCCCCGTAGCCACTCTATTTATATTCATTTCATCCAACGCTGCAAATTTGTTCGTGCCAAATTTCCCGACCCCGTAAACCCATGGGATGGGAGGGCCTGCCACGGCCTAGGTCTGCTCCACCGGCGGATTCGGATTTTTCTCTTCTTTGGGCTCGACAAAGGTCTGTTTTCTACTCTCTCTGATGGTGATCGCCTTGATTGACATGAGAATCACAATAATCACCGCGTAAGGAGGCAGGGATTGCCGAATCGGGATCTGGGGAGGGCCGCCGGGGCCTGAGATTCCAGGCAGCCGTCGCATGATCGACCGAACCCTGGGAAAGAGAAAGGGGGGAATTGGAGGAATCTCAATTCTCTTATTAAACATCCATCATCCTCACCTTCTCGTCGTCATCTCGTCCGGCCCGCCTACTTCTTTTGTCGGCTTGTTCGAACTGCAGTCGAACGGTGGTTGTTCTGGACGCTCCAACGAGGGTCCAACGGCTGCTTTCCTCCTGGTGATTGGCGTGGCCCGGTGGAGGTTGATGTTCTCATTATTAGAGGATTATTCCAATACGGGGTTCGATTGAATTTAACCCATCCTCTCTCCATACTCCGTACTCAGGACTGTGTTGTACAGTTGTTGTTATTGTTTTGATTAATTGTTATTGTTATTACAGTATGTATCATATTACTCCGTATCTCTAGGGTGGTTCCTGCATCTCCGTAGATATCTCTATCATCGGCCACCCTGCGCCTGCAGCCCATGTGCATCGGCCTACATAAGTGGCTCTTCGCCCCCCCCCCGGGGATGATTGTGTGATCTCAATGCCCATTGATGACATCGCCGCCTCCCCGCCCGGGACGATGATCAGAACCCCAACATATTAATAGAAATGCGATGACGGCTGAAGACGGGCTGACAAGTGACAAGTGACAAGTAACAACGAAAGGTCCAGGTGCCTGTCCATGTGGCCATGTAATGCCTATGAAGATTTCTTTCTTCCTATCTTCCTATCTTCCTCTGATTTACGGTGTAAAACGCCTTGGGGCCATTTCAACTAGTCAACCCCAATTTCACGTTTATCACTTTCGGTTACGAGTTAACAAGTCGTAACTATGGCGTATCTCTTCCCTTTTTAGCAGTTCTGAAGCTATACGACCTCGCCTCCTATTTAATGGCTAAGATGGCTCCTTGACCTTGATTGAGCCGCTGTGTCATGAACTAACTAAAGGCGAATATCGGGCTACGCCCCAGTGAATTGCCCCCACTCAGGTAGGTAAATATATACCTACGATAGGATTTGAACGCTCTGTGGATATCTGTGATGCCCGAGGTTGAGGCTGCCAAGCATATCGCCAGTTACTTAACTATTCTACAGAACAACCTTCATAGTCATCCAGATGAATTGAAATATTCATCCCGATCAGAATGTCTACATTTTCTTATTGCTCACCATAGTGCCAAGTTCCTATCGCCGCTTTCTATCCTTGAGTACTGTACATACTCCGTACACAAAGATGTCTATCTTGCTCCTTTTTCTTTTTCTTTTTCTTTTTCTTTCTGAAAAGGATTTCCAGATAGAGGCACGCCATAGTAGAACTAGGAGTGTGACCTTCTTAGCTGTTGTATCCCGTGGTTTGCTATGTGAAGACACTGTTGTGATCCTAATACCTGACCGGTTGCTACCTAGACTTATATCTATTTTTTTCGATAATTCTTATTATGTCTATCAGGGCAGTTTGCGCAAAGTACAAAATACCCTACAGGCAATGATTCTCATCTGCTAAACTATTCAAGCCCTCTGGTACATTTATCAATGTCGATCGAACGGTATCGGAAATCTCTTCAGCCCGTCAAACTTTCCCCCACTACTACAGACTTAGTTGGGAGACTAGAAGTGTTAGACGGCGACGGCGTGGACAGTCTAGACCAAGGTTGTTTAGCGTCTACTCTATGCAATAATAAGGATGAAGGTTCGGAGAAATTTGAGGTGTGGTTGTTAGCGCCGTTGCGAACCATCGGCGTAACCTTAAGGTTTTTGCTGTTCATTCGATTTTGGTTTGTTTCTGCCTGTGTTGACAATCTCCGGTTGAAACAGTGGCACACTGCTCGTGTTACTCGTAATGCCTCATTGACTCACCTGAAAAGGCATTCCGGGGCAAACAAAGGGCAGATACAGAACAAAGGCAACACCAAGTCGGAAGTGTTCAAACACTGCACGGGGATCTTGATCAAAGAAACCCCAGAAAATCATAATTCCTCTGAACCAGTCATCCTTCACTCAAATGGGGAAAATAAACTTCAACACGTTGATGGGCGTCGATCCCTCACTCGACCATCGTCACCACTTCGAAACCTCCTGGCTTCTACCTCCGCTGGCCTTCGCTTTTCTCCGCGGTCTCGTCGCCCTCTACATTTTCGTCACCAACTTCTTCATCTGGGGCTGGAACGGCACCCATGGCAATCGCGCCGCCATCGGCCAGAGCTTCAGCTTCTTCACCTGGCTGACCTACTGGGGTCTAGGCTTCTACTACCTCGTCGCCTGCGTCCATACGGCCTGCTATGCTCGCTCCGGCCGTTCGCTTCTCTTCGATGTCTGCCCACGGGGCCTGCGCGCCCTCCACGGCTTGTTCTATACCACCGTCACCACTTTCCCCTTTCTGGTGACCATCGTCTTCTGGGCCATCCTCTACTCCGGGCCATGGTACCATGCAACCTTTAATGGGTGGTCGAATGTAGGTATATTTCCTATTCATGTCGCACACACACGCACATGCACAACCAACGCCATGTGCAAGAGTGACGTCGTAGCAAAGCACAATGCTATCACTAGCTGAAATGCCCCTTCAATGGCTAACCCACTTACTAACCTATCTATATATGGTTAGATCTCCCAACACGGCCTGAACTCATTCTTCGCGCTCCTCGAGATCATCCTCCCCACAACCAATCCCCACGCCCTTCTCACCTTCCCCTTCCTCCTACTCCTCTTGCTCCTATACGTCTCGCTGGCCTACCTGACACATCACACGCAGGGATTCTATCCCTATTCGTTCCTGGACCCTGGTGTGCACGGCGAGAAGAGCGGCCTCGTGGCCGGCTACTGCTTTGGCATCTTGGCTGCCATCCTGGTCATCTTTGCCTTGTCATGGGGGGCGATCTGGCTCAGGAAGAAACTGACGCGCGGCGTGGTCAAGCGATCCCGATTTGATCGTGAGAGGGGGTTGGAGATGGAGGAGGTGAGTGCTTAGGTGGGTTCTAATATACATGTACCCGAGGAAGTGGGCTGGTTTGTGTCATATCATAATTAATGGGCGTGTCTAATACCTATATACTACGTCGGGTCATTCGGGGGGGTTCTGATTATTGACGAAATTCGGAGACAGTTCATTCTGTGGATGGTCATACTATAAATAACATCAGTAGAAGAGATGAGAATATACATTATTCAAAAGAACTATGGAGTGCCGGGATAAATAAGTGCGCCGGCTTTTTTTTTTATTGCCATTATTATACCCGTTCCCAGCTTGTCTCGCTGCTGCTGCTTCCGCTGGCACTCTCCGTCGCGGTGGCTTGTCCACTGCGCAGGCCGAGCATCCATCCAACCAAGCCGGCCGGAACCCACTCGCCGATGATGCTGTAGGTGCGCGCACCTCGCCCGACATAGAAGACCGGCGTCTTGGACTTCTTCCGTCCAAATATATCCTTCGAAGGCGGCTCCAACGCGTCCATCAACGCGTAGTGGAGGTGCCTAGCCGGAGAACCGCGTATCGTGCCGGGTCCGGCCGATGCGACCGGCCGCTGTTCAATGCTGGAAAGGTACTGCGAGCCGTAGAGGGATCGCTGTTGTGTGCTCCATGCGAGAACCTCCGTTCCGGTGATGTGGCTCTGCGGGCTGCGATACTGCGGTCCGAGATCGACGTTTCCAAGTTTCAACTCCACGACATCAATATTGCTGTGCTGCAGGAGGCAGAGCTCTCGTCGAAGTGACGTCGCAAAGCCTGCCATGGCACGGGTAATGGTGACCTCTGGGCCTGTGAACGGAGCTGACAACGAAGATGAAATCGAGGGGTAGACGAGAACGATGGTACTGCTTGTGCTGCGGAGGGTGAGAAGGGGCAAAAGAAGCTGAGTCGTCAGGATAGGCGACAACAACCGCGTGTTGATGCTATCGGCCCATGCGGAAGGGGGGATCGTAGCGACGGGGCCAGTCACGTAGCTCGGAGAGGGAACGAGGACGACTCCGCTAAGTTGACAGGTGTGTGGCGGTACGCCTGCCATCGGCGATTGCGGCTGGGTGATCAAGGACCGGATTTCATGTAACGACGGATGGAGCTCTGAAGGCGACGAGGGCGACTGCATAGATCGGTCAGCAAGTGTAGCGGTTTCGAGGATTAGAGAGTGCCTCACCACTGTCAGGTCAAGCCAGAGGGCTCGAATGTCCCCTGAATTTTGTGACTGGATGATATGTTCCTCCTCTGCAGACGAAACTGTAACGTACACGATGTACCCTCGGCGTTCCAGATCGACTGAAATTGCTTTGGTCATCGGTTCAAGCGGTGATCCGACGACAACTATCATCGAGATTAGGAGGATTCCGAATACAACGGCCAAATCATCTGCAACCCACCTAGTATCTCCTTCCGAGCACCATTTCCGGCTCTTCTAGCCTTCCTCCGTTTGCCACCGAACTTCTTGCTGCCAAGGTATAGAACAGAAGTGGTTCCGATAAAGGCGAGCAGAGCTGCACTCCATGCTCGGTGTCGAAGAACCCAATCATAAGCACGATCGCTGAAAGACTGAGGGGCACGAGGACGAGGTGGTTGTATCGGTCGGACGGAGGAAGGGAGCCATGATTGATTCGACAGCGTATCTTTGATCGTTTTGGCGGCCAGGTCGACCTGTCGGTCGATCGAGTCTGCAACCTGGTGGGAATATCTTCTTACGTCATGAGGTATTGACGCGAGCTAAAGGTGCAACCAGCTATAAGTCTCTGGGGGTGCCGTCAATGACAAGTGAATACACTTACATAGTCAAAGAAGAACTGGTCGTCGCTAGTCATTTTGCCGAGTGAATTTTGTATTCAAAAAGTCCCAAGAAGGGCGAGTTGACAAGAGAAAAAAAGCGATGCGCCGATAAGTTCGCGATTCGATAACGACCAGGTCACATGAGCGGGTCGCTATCGCCCCATCGGCAGAACCATCGAAGGTGCTGGATCTTTTGCATGTACTCATTCCGACTCGTTCGTGATCCTACTTGCTTCTTATCGTTGCTTGGGGCATCGCTTGTAACTGTCAGCGCCCACCTCTCCTTTGACGTTTGTCAAGCCCTGTGGAGCCACCGAGGCAGCAGTCTCCGTTGCTATTAGTTCAGTACCTATTGTTGCCAATCGGAATCAATATTCTGGAGATAATTATATATCTCTATCCCAGAATTAATATTTCGTCAACTCAACAACCCATACTTGAAGTCGCCACTTCACGTGATACATCACCTGGAACTCCTCTACTGATTACCAATCCTATATTCCTGCACCTTTAGACCGAGTGCCATCGAGTGCCACCAAGCGCCATGACGCGACCGGAATCTGCCTGATAACCCGGGGGTCTCGCGGAACATTCTCGTGTTGATGTGAAATCATCTACATCAAAGCTGGAAGCTCTCTCCAACAATCAAGGAGCCTAGCCTCACGGATAGTGTACTGTAGGCCTGGCCGATGCTGTGCCTGGGTCATACTTTCCCCTCTAATACTCTGTCGGTTAATATTCTATTCAGATTCCCTTAACAATTTTATATCATCAACATGCGTGAAATAGATCCCTTGATCTTTGAATATCAGCATGACAGGCATCGACCCAGAGAGTCGGAAGCTTTGCTGGTGCTTCGAAAAGTTGCGTCCCTGGTTAAACCTATCATGCGCCGAAGAGGTTGGCAAGTAGGCACACTCTCTGAATTCTACCCACGAGATCGGAGCCTCCTTGGTCTCAACATCAATGGCGGCCAGAAGATATGTCTCCGGCTGCGTTATGCGTCCGACGTGCGGCAGTTCCTTCCGATCGAGCATGTTCTGGACACCATGCTACATGAGTATGGTTAAATTTCTTTCCTGAGGATGGTATTGCTTCCGAGTGCTAACAAGTTTAGGCTTTGCCATATCGTTCATGGCCCTCACAATCAACAATTCCATGCTCTTTGGAACCAGCTACGCGATGAACATGAAGAGCTTGCTATGAAGGGATATACCGGAGAAGGGTTCCTTTCACAAGGTAAACGACTAGGCGGTCGCCGGATGCCCGTGGACGAAGCCCGCCGACAAGCACGAGCAGCTGCGGAACAGAGACGGGCGCTCTCCGCTGGGTCCGGACAGCGACTGGGTGGCGCCCCAGTACTGCGTGGGACTGATATGCGCAGGGTGATAGCCGACGCCGCACAGCGACGTATAGATGTAACCAAGGGTTGTGCATCGGGAGCTGATAATAGCGCTGATCTTGCAGAAGAAGCGTCCAGAGATGGTTTTCTGACAAAAGCTGAGGAGGATGATGCAAATGAGCGGGCTATCATGGAAGCTTTCATTGATCTAATCGAAGAGGAAGAGCGGGAAAGATACGGGCCTTCCTATATACCCCCTACTCAAGATAACCCGGCTGGTCCTCGGTCAAACCCTTCTCCCCCGCCTGTGCCTCATGAGACTAGGCCTACCGCACCTGTGCAATCACAGGACCTTGTCGATCTCACCTCAGATGATAGCTTGTATGAACAACCATGGGCATGTCCAACCTGTACTTTGGAGAACCCAGCCACTTTCCTATGCTGCGATGCCTGTGCCGCAGAGAGACCTCGACCTGCGAACACTCGATCTGTGTCGGGACCTCCTGCAATGAACACAGAAATTTTGAACTCGAACGACCGAAGCAAAAGAAAACGTCCCCCGAGCCAGTCTGTTGGCCACAATTCGTTCAAAATGAGAAGCAGCGCCGTTGAGACTCTCGCTGAGCTGGACAGGAACACTCCTAAGCGGCCTTTGGGATGGATATGCAATTTCTGCAGTACTTTCATGGAGACCGAATGGTGGACATGCTCGAATTGTGGAACGATGAAGCCATCATCATAATCCCATGGTTATGAATGATTGGATTTTTAGCGATCTTTACCTACGGTTATGATTGACGAACTTGAGACCATTATGGCACCTTTTGACATTTGTCTCAAGTCAGGACACCTGTATTTCTAGAAGTTTAAGATAATTTTGTTTAATGATGTGCCACAAACCCGCCATGATTACTCGTAGGCGGCACCGTAGTTAGTTAACTAGTTGGGTTAGTTAACTAACTAGTTAGTTACCTAGTTCCGTCCGGCGTGACAAAGCCCTGACTAAGCACCGGCCCGCCTATTCGGCCGGTCATAAATCTAACCAACAATTTTCTCCCACTTTTTTTCCTTTCTGCATCTTCCCAACTGTACGAACCACGGAGCTCTTGCTTCCAACACCAGTCTTATTGTTCAGACTGATTCTCAATCTGAATTTCGAAAGAGACTAACAATTAGGTATGCACTACTTCCCTTTGCTCTTTACTTTCTGTCTCCTAGCATTCTCGCAACAACACCTCCCATCCAATGTCCTTGAAGAAGTGAGAACGAGGAAAACAAGCAAAGAGAGGAAGAGAGGAAGAGACTGGTCTACACCCAAACGAACCAAGAAACAAACAAACTTCCAATATGATGAGAACATTTCCAAGAACCGGTATTTTAGGAAGAGCCGGAAGAGGTATGACGGGATTTTTCACCACAGGTGGCCCTCGTCGTCGGTGCTTATAATGGTTCTGCTGAGTGGTTGTTTTATGTTTTCTTGGTTCCTCGGTGTGTCAGAGATTGGTTCTCTGGAACAGATTCTTCTGGTCTGTTCCTTAGACGAGAGGTCGTTGATCACTGTTGCTATATGATCATTGCTTTTGTTCTTGTTCATGAGCTAATGCTGATATCGACAAATTTAGGTTTCAATATTCAATCCGTAGCATGTTAGTCTTGATGTTGATGTGATCGATGTCTGATACGAAAATCAACCGGTTGTGGATTTGATTTTATATGGTGGAATATCTATAGATGTCTCGAGAATATGAATATACATGGTGATTTTTGAACCTTCCAAACTCCGGATATAGAACTTTTTCCAGTAGCAGACATAGGCATCCAAGTCAATTCGTAACGCCCGTAATGCATGTACACAAAAAATAAGAATCAAAAGACCCCAGGGTAAAAACCCAAATAATAGTCCCCTCTGCTTAGGACACGCTGATAAATTGTCGCTTCTTACCCGTTGCTGCTGTCTGAGCAGGCTCTTCCCAGACCTCGTCATCAACGTATTGCTTGGTACCCTGTTCGCGCACCTGATGGCCCACGAACTGTAAAGCAGACAGATTGAATCCCATCTCGTCCTTCTGGCGCGCGAGGACCCGACGTAAGGTAGATCGAATACTATCGAGCATCGGCCGCATCGTCTTGCTGGCAACAACTTGACGGTGGTGTGTCTTGAGCATGAAGAAGAGGACGCGGCAGGTGAGAGGAACGTTCCATTCCCGATTGGCCCAGATGTCGAGGAAGGTGAACAGCGCGGGGAGCTTGGCGAAGGGCAAAACGAGCAAGGCATCCTGCAGCGCGGCGGCCGGGACCTTCTGCACTGTGTTCAGGACGTGCTGCTCGGCCGAGATGTTGCCCAGCGCCATGTACAGCGGGTTGCGGACGGGAGGAGCGGCGTTCGGTTGGGTCGCTTTGATGGCGCGCCATTCACGCACGATCTCCAGATCCTCAATTCCCAAGTCGAGGGCTTCCATGATCTTTTCACCAGCCATGAGCGTGACGGTGGTTTGTTTTCCTGCCTCACCGGCTTCGGCTTTCTCGCCGTCTTCGTTGTCTTCCTGGTCGAGAGATTCCATGAGATTGTTGTCGTGCATCTCTTCCAGCTCCTTTTCGCGCTCTTCTTCGAGGAAAAGCGGCTCATCGGTCTGCTGCCAGGTGCGGATACTCTTGTCGTGACTGGCCGTCACGAGGAACTCGCCGTCCTGGCTGATAGTCAAAGCCCAGATCTCGCCGTGATGACCTGCCAGCTTCTGGATCTGCTCAAATTTGTCACCGTCCCAGTATTTCACCATACGGTCTTTGCTTGCACTGAAGAAGTTATGCCCGTTTCCTTCCTTGTTCGTGGGAACGAAAGCGACGGCCATGATACTGTCTTCGTGCGCCAAGAATGCCTTGTGACAATCACCGAAATCCAAGCCCCAGAGACGAACTGTTTTGTCAGCTGAGCAAGTAACAATCAACTTGCTGTCGTAGGAGATGTCCATGCTCAGGACCGGAAGTTTGTGGCCGTAGAGGTTGAGGAAGAGTTTCAAAGAATCAACGAAGAACACCTTGACGGTGTTGTCAAGTAGGGAAACGGCCAGCAGCCGGGCGTCAGGGGAGAATCGGAGATTGAGAATGTCGTCCGAGACCTTGAGAGTTCTTGTGTGGACCAGCTTGAGCCGAGGCGTACTTCTCTTAGTACCGGGGATGTCTTCCTGGACAACCTGGAAGTTCCAGAATTTGGCAGTCTTATCGGCGCTGCCACTGACGAGCGATTTTCCATCGGGGTGCACTTGGAGAGACCACACCGGTCCATCATGGGCTTTGATAGTGTCGAGCAGAGTGGAGGACGCAATGTCGAAGACTTCGAGCTGTCCATCTTTGTTACCGACCACGACAATCTTATCACCAGGAAGGAAAGCAGAGCACAGAGAATAGCCGCAATCCAACGTACGGAGACAGCTCTGCGTGCGGATGTTCCAAACTTTCAGAGTACCGTTTGAGGCAGAAGCCAGCATGCGATCATCCGAGCTCAGAGCGATCGACCGAATGTCGGTGCGATGGCCAGGGATGTCGACGGCCAGGTTGCGGTTATAATCCGATTCCTCCTCGTCCTTGTTTTTCTTGTTCGCCGTAACGACGCTGTAAGCTTCTAGCTGGTTGTTTGTGGTTGCAACTAGAAGCTGGATGTTCCCACTAGACTTCGTTCTGATCCAGTCGAACGAACGGACTTTTCCGCCGGTGCGAACAATAACGTGAGAGACGAAAACTTCGGTGACCGGTGCGGAGGAGATATCCTCAACTTTGTCGTCGGTGGCTTCCTTAGCAGCTCCTTCAGCGTTGCGCTGGGCATCTTTCTCCTTTCTTCTCTTGCGCTTTCTCGCCAAACTCTTTTGGACCTCTGTCTCCGAGCGAATGCGCCAGATTTCAACAGCCTTCTCCGATCCATGGAAAGCAACATAGTCTGATCGCGGATGAAAGCTGATCCCAATTGTGCGGTCCTTTCCGGTTCTGTAGAACGCCCCCCTGTTTGTAAGAATTTTGCGGTCTTCCGCACCCACTTTTTCTTTTGAGATCTCAATCATAGCGTTCTCGTCGATCGACCACACTCTCAGTTCTCCATCATTTCCGGCCGTAATACATCCGCTCTGATCGGGGGACAAGCCCAAACTCCAACACTCCCCGTTGGATTGAGCCACGTGGGTTTCGATACAGTGTTGCGATGCGAGATCCCACACCTTGATCAGCGAATCTTTGCTGGTGGTGATGAGAAATCCTGCGTGTTCACTCAGACCGGCCGCGTTGAGCAACTCCGGGGAAGGATCGAGGAAGTGAAGGGAAGTGACTTGGTCGGTATGTCCGCGCAGCTTAAAGAGGCCGACTTCCGCAATCAGATCCCATAGGATGATATCGGTATCTTTTGAACCGCTGGCAAGGCGAACACCGGCGCTGTCGAAGGCTAGCTGGGTAATGGCGGTTTTGTGACCGTTGAACGAGATCATCACGCTGGCTGTTCGCGAATCCCAAAGACGAATGCTACCGTCTTCGTAACTAAGCACCGATGAGCGTTAGCATAAAAATACCGACCTGAAAAACCCCCGAATCAAGAACCCCAGATAGGCCTACCCGACAGCAAAGATATCCTCATCCATCTTGCTCTGAGTGATCACGGTGACCTGCGCATTGCATGATGTATCGTGCCATCTCCCTAGCAATTCTCCTTTCTTGATATCCCAGCAGAGCACCTCCTCACTTGCACCGACGACAGCGCGACCGGAGCCGGTGCGACGTGCAGTCCCAGCCAATTCATCGTCGCGGGCCCAGATCGAATTCGACGATGCCCCAGCGACGAGCCCGAAAGTTTTCGAGTGCTCGAATTTCCTGTGTGATGGGGAAAAAAACGCAAAAGTTAGCAATGCTCAGCGGCGAGTAAAAGGATGGGAAAGAAAACTCACAGGTATGATTTCACCATCGTTGGGCGTGAGATGCTTGACACTTTTTTTTTTTTTAAAAAAAAAAAAAAAAAACCATCGATAATCCGAAAATGGATGTACGGGAGGCGACAAGCGCCCGAGTGGACGGGGCCTCACCGCCTTCCTTTCCCCAACATCCGGCAACAATAACGTAAGGCAGTAAGGCAGTAAGAGCGTCGTTGACACTCACCTCCGTTGCCTTCTCCAACAGACAGTGAACTACAATCCGAACACAAAGAAACAGGGAAACCGACCTCAGAAGGACGTTATAATTGTTGATTCTACGCAATCTACCGACGCATCGTTGATGCGACAGCCACCATGCTTCTTCTAGACTACCACAACGTTCTCATCCACACTCTCCTGACGGAGCGGTTTTCTGGGTACAGCTTCCCCCTCTCCCCGCCTCCGCTGTACGCACACCCGGCTTCTAACTGACATGTGGCTGCATTTTATAGAGCCCCGCCCGCGTCAGTCGATCAGGTCGTCTCAGATTTCGACGGAGTTACGTTTCATTTGTCGACGCCCGAGACCAAGACCCAGATCCTCATCTCCATCCACGTGAAATGCTTCCGCGAGCTGGTTCAGTATGGGGCGCAGGAGGTGTTGGAAAGGGAATACGGATCCTACATTGTCGCCCCGGAGCCCGGTTATGATTTCTCGGTCCTAATTGACCTGGAAAACCTCCCTGCCGAACAGGAGGCGAAAGACGAACTTGCCATGCGCCTTGCTCTGATGAAGCGCAATGCTATGGCTGCCCCGTTCGAGAGGGCTTTCGATGAGTTCGCTAAGCTCTCCGAGGAAGCCTCGAAATACACCTCTGAATCGGCGCCCCAGGGAATCAAGGAAGGAGGTGAGGTGATGGCTATCCATTACCGAGAGGAGGAAGCCTTCTACATCAAGGCCAACAATGACCGAGTCACCGTCATCTTCAGCACCGTCTTCCGGGAAGAGACCGACCGAATCTTTGGCAAGGTTTTCTTGCAGGAGTTTGTCGATGCCAGACGGCGTGTTTTGACTCTGCAGAACGCTCCTCAAGTGCTGTTTAGAAACGATCTTCCTCTGGAACTTGAGGGTGTCCCCGGCCTCCAGGACCCCGGTGACGGCACGATGAGCTATGTCACTTTTGGTAACCTTTGACCTTGGACAGTTCGTGGTCGATTGTGAATGCTAATGCTGTGGCAGTTCTTTTCCCTCGTCACCTGACGCCTCAACGGCGTTATGAAAACATCTCCCATATTCAGATCTTCCGAGACTATTTCCACTACCACATCAAGGCCTCCAAGGTACGTCCCTTTGCCATCGTTGAATGCATGCGATCGGTTGCTTACCTGGTATCTAGGCCTATATCCACACCCGAATGCGCAAGAGGACGGCCGACTTCCTTCAAGGTAAGTGTTCACAAAAAGTCGCTCTCCATGCTTACGGCTACTAACATGTCGCAGTACTCAACCGAGCGCGGCCGGAAAATGAGGAGCGGGAGAGGAAGACTGCCAGCGGTCGTACCTTCAGGGTGCAGGGATAGATTGGTAAAGTATGTATGTATGTAGATACATGGTGTCATTATCGCGTGGGCGATGAAGATGAAATGTGTGTTGCTCCAGGATGTATAGAATTTTATATTATTTTATTTGTTCTTTTTATTTTTTTTCTCCCCGGTCAAATCCATTCGACGAATGGAACCTACATACATACTTACATAGGACGCCGTCAATAGACAGTGAGGAGGAGAAAATCGACGTGTCTCGACTTGCGGGCCTCGATTGATGCATCACAAAGCTCTGCCGCCTCACCGCTGCCGCCTTGCTTTCTGCTTTCCCCTGGCTTACTCTCGTGGTCAGCAGCGTTCCACCATCCTATTCAACTGCGAATCTTCCAAACTTGTCAACATGCATGATGCAATTTAATTTGCAACGTGTCTTTCCTTACGGACCAGAAGGCTCCAAATCCGATCGAGCGATGCTGTCATCAATCCGCCCCTTTGGATCTCCTTTATGTCCCCGTTCCACTAACCTTCTTTTTTTTTCGCGGCCAAAGCCTGGTATTGCCTATGATCGACATCTGACCGTCTCCGACATTAATCCTACCAGGCCATCGACTTTAATTGGACCGAGATTCCCAAGGAACTGGGTCATGTCACACAATCACTGCAAGGAGAGTTTCGGGTTCATCGTAAGACGACGACTGACGAGAAGAAGGAGTTAGAACAACCCCTCCCCAACTGTCCCAACTTCCCAAAGTCCCAAATGGACCTGACTCGGTGCCAAAGGATCCTTGTGGAGCGTTCCGAGTCATTGTTATTGGGCGGAATTGTTCGGATAAATGAAGACGAATGGGCCAGGTCCCAACTCCACCACCTAGATATGCAACTTTTGCTTAGTGTCGACGACTCTGCATGGTTGCTTTTGCGATTCCAACAGGCGGGATTTTAGGCTGCCTTGGCGTCTCCAAGGGGAGGGTAAAGACAGAGTTTTTCTGCTTCCTTTGTCTTCTTCTGTCGATTCTCAGAAAAAGAAAAGAAGAGAGAAGGAAAAGGAAAGATGCCGGACAGATTTTCTCCTGCCGGCTGATATCCTTGTCAAGACGTCTCCTTGGTACCCAATAATCGTGAATCCCAAGCGCAGGTTTTCGCTAGACCAAAGAGAAGACGCTATCAGCACATCTTCTGCCCTCGGACCCGTGCAGATCCTGATTTGCTCACGTCCGGGGATTGGGAATTTGATCGTGGTCTGGATGCCAAGTCTAGGCCACACTAGAATATAAAATTAGGGGGGAGGAACGATACCGCTTCCAGACCCGGAGAGGCCGATTATTGTTTGTCTTCCCTTTTGACCTACGCCTGGCCAGAACACTTTCGAATTTCTTATGGCCGTCTTTGAAATCCCCCAAATTTTAGGGTTCATGCAAATGGCACATTACAACCCATGCTCATAGTGTTTTCTCCGGTTACCTAGCAAGGAATCCCGATGTATGATGTCTCCACAGCGATCTTAAAAGGCAGCTTTTCTGAGCTTGACCATACTTCCATCGTGAGGTCTGTTCTATAGCATGTGAGTCGCGATTTTTCCATAGACTTGAGCCTCATCGTGCACTGCCACACGCATCGCTGCATCTATGATGAATCGATCACCCTCGCCAACCTGGAGATGGTACCCTACACATGAGCATCGCGATGTCGCCTCCGCTGGATATGAAGCTCAACTTGGCGTAGTTACTAGCTGGGATTCCTCTGCAAAGAATCTATTTCCCTCTCTTTCCCAGACGCAGGATGGTCGTCTCTGGGGTCTCTTGTCTCACGTTGTCTGTCAATGGCTTTATGCTAACGACCTAGAATCAGAAGAGCTAGACAAGAAAAACACGCGCTATAAAAACCAAATAGCCGGGCATTTACTGCCGAGAAACCATGCGCGACAGACTCAACAGTCTCCCATTGGAGATAATCATACATATCCTATCTTATCTGCCATACGAGTCCCTGCTGGCCTTCGGGGAAACATGTCGCTTCAACTATGAGTCCCATATTATGAGTCTCCGCTACTTGCGACTGGGAGTGTTTGAAAAGAGAGCTCATTCTACTATAGCCTGCTTGCAGGCTGGTTGGGCCGCACCGGGCCAAATTTCTCGCTATTTCGATGAGGACGACGAGGGCAACGCGAGTGAATATACCGTTGCAGTTATCCATCCAAAATTTAAACGTAATCGGTCGGATGCACCTGGAAAAAAAGACACCGGGCCAGGCGACTCGAGCAGGCGGATTGCAGTAGCACGGGGCAAAACTCGGTCACGGACACAGGAAGAGATGATCCGCGCTCAAAACAGGATTTTCTCCTTGATTGTGAGTCGATACGGCCCGTCTCTGATCAAACTAGAGTTCATGGCGTATGGTCTTGATGCTCGCGGAGCGAGGACTCTTGGAGGCAAGTGCCGACACTCGTTACAGCATCTGGCACTACGCTTCGAACACCGGCATATTCGAGACGGGGAAATGAACCCAAGGCTTTGGCTGCAACCAGCGCCTTCCAGCAATGTTTGGAATCTACTCATTGGAGGAGGGCGCTACAAAGATTTCGGGATCTCTAGCCTAGAGAGTCTGATATTGGAGAGAACTGGTATCAACCCGTCTCAATTGACCATGCTTGTGAAAAACAATCCTCGATTGAGGGTCTTGAAGCTGAAAACCTGTCGTGGTGCGCATCCCGAATTCCTGAATTGGCTGGGGGGTGTCTACAAAGATTCTGTTGAGACCGAATCAGGGTCGCACGAAGTTCTGGCTCCTGGAAGGAAGCTGTCTGTTCTTTGGCTGGAAAACTGCCATGAACTTCTCACACAGCCGATAGACGAAACAATCGAGCCGCCCGATGCGACCTGCGATCTTGGGCTTGAATGGGCCAGGGGCTTGACGAATTTGAAGGTATGATCTAATTATATCCTTCTCAACCATGAATGCACGTACTCATGATCGAAGGCTAATGAAATCCATGAAACAACAGTCTCTGTCTTTAAAAGAGTGTATAGCCATACCCCCAAAGTATGCCGAAAGGGCAAACCGGGTCATTTGGAAGATTCCTGAGCTCATCCTACCGTTTTCCACCCCCTCAGAGGACCCTCAAGATGAGGCAGACCCTAAGTTAATATGAGTCCAAAAGTTCTTTGTGTTTTTTATCTTCTTGTGATTGTTTCTTTGAGCGAGCATTGAGCATGGTGTTTGTGCTACAGGCATTTTATATAGCATGGGCGGACAACGACTTTACACGATAGATACCATGCACAGCGTGTGCAGCATTGATGATAGTGAATTAGGATGAATAGGTGGATGCAATATTAAACCTGACTGACAGAAGCTGAGACCCCAGAAAGATGCTCTTCAGGCATCGCATCGTTTCCCTTTCTCATGAATGCTGCTGCCCCCTCTTCACTGGTTTGCACAGACCACTCACTTCACTCTTCACTGCTGGGCCTCTAAGGTCTCGAACTTGAGCAATCTCCCCCAGACCCTCGGGCTGCTGGAACTGTGCTACGTCCACGGCTCCGAGTCCACCCCGGACAGCCAGATCTCCACCGGCAACGAGCCCCCGCGCCTGGATAGATAGATAAATAGATAGAAAAGATCGTTATTTATGCATTTATGCACATATGTATACAGAAACAGAAACTAACGAGCAAAAGGTTGTTTGGATTGGACTATCAGCGAAATCAGATAAATCTATCATATCATATCTAGCCATCTATTCCTCGCCCCAGGTATCATCCACCTCAGCGACATCGTAATCCACATCCGGGTTCCCGTTTCCGTCTCTGGGCTTCCCCGGCTGATCAGGTGGTGGCGGAAGGGAAGAGCTCGTGATGTCCATGACGGTGTCTTCGTCAGAGGCCGTTTTGGCATCGGATTCGAGGCCCGAGGCCGCTGTGGGAAGGGTGATAGGGGGATTGGGCACCCAGGCGAGCTGGACATCGCCGACGGAGGGGATCTTCCAGGGTCCGCGCATGAATTTCTCGGCGATGTAGCGCTCCTTGAAGGCGACGATGAGGGAGTTGGGTTCTTCGGAATGGGGCTCGATGGATTCGTATTCGCCGACGCCCTGAGGGGTGGGTATTAGCATATGGGAGAGGGGATGAGTTGGGACATATAAAAGGAATAAACTTACGATCAGGAACTGCCGCAATGCTTCGTCCTTCTCGGTATCGAAGTCAACGCCGGAGATGGCGATCCGCTTCGGTCGGTTGTCCAGACGAAGGACGCCGCCGCGCCCACGCGCCATGCCACCGCGTCCGCGGAAGCCTCCACGGTAGGAGGGATCGTATCCACCACGACCTCGCGGAGCAAAACCGCCTCTTCCGAGATATCCTCGGCCCCGACCACGGGAGCCAAACGGGGGGGCCGATTCCGAGCCGTTGGGATCGATACCGAGAGTCTTCGCCTCGGCTTCCAGAGCAGCCAATTGTGCCCGCAGTTGTTTGGTCTGGTCAGTGGAGTTCTCTTGGGACGGGGACCGAGACTCTCCGTCTCCAGAACCATTGCCATTGCTGGCGCCGTTTCCGCCAAGTCTCCGCAGAAGCCGCTCCTTTTCTTCCTCCTGTTTCTTCAAGAGCTCCTCGCGCTGTTTCTCCAAGGCTTGTCGAGCGTCCTCGGTCTCCTTACGCCTCTTCATCTTCTCTTCATGGGACTTTTGTGCCTCTTCCTGTTGCTTCTCGAATTCCTCGGGATCGAATGACGGCGTCTCGTCCATGGGATCGCCCGGAGCTGGTCGCTGTTCATTATTGCGATCGTTCTTGGGCTTGTGCCAATAGACCTTGACGAATCGGTTATCGAAGATCACCTTAGGACTGGACCACGCCCGCTTAGCAGCTGCATGGCCGTCGTACGTGATCAACGCGAGACGCCGATGTGCCTGTATCGAGACCTCGACGATCTCACCGTACTGAGAAAAGAACTCGCGTATCGTCGCTTCGTTGAGTTTGTCGTCAGGGATTTGTTCGACAACAATCGTCGTGATCGAAGTATCGTCGTTTGGACCAGCCGACGAGAGCTCTGTCCGACGTCCCCGGCCTCCAAATCCACCCCGGTCTCCCCGGCCCCGGCCGCGACCTCTGTCACTGCCACGGAATGGCGAGTCTGTATTCCGTTTCGGAAAGTCCGTCACGATATTAGACGCTTTCGGGTCATATTCTATGCACAAACACGTGTTAGCTACCAGAAAGTATATGCGATAGATACGTCAGATGGAGGCATACCGTCTTCTTTCGAGGCGCCGGGGATAGCGTCATGCTGGTAGGGACAAGCTGCCCCGAGGTAACAGATTCCCTGAGTTTCGTAGAAGGGGCAACGTTCTGAGGTCTTCGGCATCATTTGATCAGGTGGTTGACCGGGCCCACCCGTAGGCGGCATGGGCATCGGAGGCATTCCCGGCATCTGCGGGAAGCCCATGCTTTGCATCGCCATCATTGCCGCCATTGGGTTATTCTCATCAAACGGAGGGAACGAGGGAGGCATGACGGGGAATCCACCCGGCCCCGGAGGAGCGAATTGCCCCGGTCCACCTGGAGGACCACGCCCATCTCGGCCCATCCAATCTCCGCGACCACCACCACGGCCGCGACGTGGAGTCTTGAAAGTCCGGTGCTGAGGGGCATCCTCCCGGTCTTGGTCGGTCTGGAAACCTTCGTGGAAGCTGCGCTTGCGGTTGAAGCCGGGCGCGTCGGTTTGCGATTGCGGGAACTGGCCCATTGGAGACCCATACGCGCCCTTCGAAGGACCCGAGGGTGGGTTAAAGGGAGCCGATTGCGGATTGAATGGCGCCGACTGGGGGTTAAACGGAGTCGACTGCTGAGGCGCCGACTCGATACTGGGGATCTCATGGGCGAGCGAGGGCTGGGGCTGTGTCGGAGGAGGCTGTTTGGCCGCGAACGTAGCAAACAGCTCATTGACGAACTGTGCAGTATCTAGATCCCGGCCATAATTAATTAGAGCGAAGTTCCCCGAGTGTCAATGGGTACGGGTAATATCCGGCGCACGAACGTTCTCTCAAAAAATCCTCCAAATTCTCCTCCGAAGCCTTTCGAATCTCCTCATCCGGAGCATCGGTGCGAATAAGTGCCAGCACATAGTCAGCTAGGACATCGGCATCGGCGTCGGATCTGCACGAATTCACATTGCCTTGATTAGCATCGAGTCTCCTTAACACATCCGGGCAAGCTGCTTCGGGGAGCTATACATGTCCTCCAGCTTCTTCACCACCCAGTTCTTCACCTCCTCCGCTTGCGCTTCTGTGAGCTGCATTGTCGCACGGATGAGAAAGAGAGAGAAATCTGCACTGAGAAGATTTACTTCGACGTTCTCGGGCAGGGACCGTCGCGATGGGGTCAGGTGCAGTCTTCGATCGTTTCTTCCGACCGCTCGATTGCAGGCCTGACAGAATCAAGGGGTATAGATGGTCTAGGTAGGGAATACAGGAGTAGAGGCGATTTCACAACAAGTCGATCAGACCATCCCGGGGCGCGGAGAGCAAGGGAAAGGTGATAATACAAAGGGAAAAAAAGTTGCGTAGCAGAACGCCGAAGCTGGGGAAACGCGAGCGAACGCGGATGACGGGTCACGTGGGCGGTGCAGAACGATAACCGCCAAGCCCTGCACAACCGAGCCCTTCTCTGCACAGTAAGTACGGAGATCGAGTCCGATCACTACGATCTTTCACCATCTTTTACCATCTACGTCTACATATTGCAGGCTGCGCACTTCGAACTTGTGAACTACCTCCTCATATTTTTTTTCTCTCGTTCAAAAGAGAACAGCAAACTTGAAATAGGAAAAAGTCCTCACAGTCGTTAACATAACAATGAAAGAAAAGCCATAGCAAATGCTCGTGCACTCCTGGGTTCTACTACTTCTAGGTATCGAAAAGTTCCACATACGACATTAAGCTGCGGTGTCTGGATTTTGGTTGTGTTGATTGTGGGTATGGCCCCTAACATAGACTTTGTATTGCGTTCGTCGATCTCATAAATGTAGGAAGCCAGCTACTATCGAACTGACGCCTAAATAGTTTGTAAAGAACGTTTTTACAGCTTGTCGTAGTACTATATCGCAGCGTTAGTAATGTTTGAGGAAAGAAAGGGGGATAGATAGCACTTACGTTCTCGTATCCGGGAACGTTCTCCTTGAGACCCTTGCGCTTACGCATCTCAACGACGACCTGACCGGGCTTGGTGGTGGTGTCAAGAGGAGATCCACCGGGGAGGATAGCCCAGTGATCGAAGACAGACTGGGGGAAGGCCTGACCACCGGTGGCCTGGCGGAGATCGCCGGGGAAACCGAAGGACTCGTTGACGGGCAGATAGGCCTTGACGTTGAACAGAGGAGTACCGGGACGCTGCTCCTCGGTGTAGACGTGACCACGACGGCGGGTAAGGACACCGTAGATACCACCCATGGCCTGCTCGGGAACCTGGATCTCGACGTTGAAGATGGGCTCGAGGATACCGGGCTCGGCAAGCAGGGTAGCGGCGTACAGAGCACGACGGGCAGTGGGGATGATCTGACCACCACCACGGTGGATGGCATCAGCGTGCAGGGTCACATCAAGGATGTTGAAGCGGATAGCACGCATGGGCTCCTCAGCAACGGGACCCTCACGGGTGGCCCACTGGAAACCAGAGACGACAGAGTCCTTAATTTCGTTAAGGTACTGGACGGCCTTGGTCTGGTCAATGAGCAGGTTGGCACCGTTGGTGTCGGGACCGAAACACCAGATCTTACGGGCGTCGGTGACATCCCAGCCGTAGTCGTCAGCCATGACACGGGCACGAGCCTTGAAATCGTCACGGGGGTTGATTTTGCCAGACTCGATGGCAAGGGCGACCTCCTCGTCCATGGGCTCAGCAGTGAGGTACAGACGGTTGTGCTTGTTGGGCGACTTGGAGAGAGCGGTCATGCTGGAAGGAGCAGTGACGGTCTCACGGTAGGGCACAACGGGGTCGGAAATACGGAGGGGAATACCGGCGTGGTCCTCCTCGAGATCCTTCAGGCAGATCTCCAGGTGAAGCTCACCAGCACCGGCAACGACGTGCTGACCGGACTCGGAGATGAAGGTCAGGACACAGGGGTCGGACTTGGACAGACGCTTAAGACCCTCGACCAGCTTGGGCAGATCCTGGGCGTTCTTGACCTCGACGGAACGCTGCACGACGGGGGAGACGGAGAATCTCATGACCTTCAGGTTGTGGGCAGTCTCGGAGGTGGTGAGGGTACCAGACTTGAGCAAGAACTGGTCGACACCAACCAGACCGACGATGTTACCGGCGGGAACATCCTCAATAGGCTCGACGAAACGACCCATCATCAGGATGGTACGCTGGATCGCCTTGACGAAGAGATCCTCCTTCTTGCCAGGGACGTAGTTGGGACCCTGGATACGGACCTTCAGACCGGACTTGACGGTACCGGAGTAGACACGACCGAAAGCGTAGAAACGACCCTTATCGGAGGTGGGCACCATCTTGGAGACGTAAAGCATGAGAGGAGCCTTGGAGTCACAGTCACGGATACCAATGGCGCAGTCGTCGTCCATGGGACCCTCGTACAGAGTCTCGGCACGGTACTTCTGGGCGGTGACGGGCGAGGGCAGGTGGATACAGATCATCTCCAGCATGGCGTCGGCAGCGGGCAAGAACTTGCGCATGACAGTCTTGAGCAGAGCCTTGCCAACGAGGTCCTTCTCGTCGGAGGCCAGCTTGATGTCGAGCTTCTCAAGCAGGGTGGGGATCTCCTCCTTCTTGTCGTTGTTGACAGCAGCGAAGATCTTGAAGATGGGGTCCAAGATGAACTGGTTGAAGGCACGCTCAAGGGGCTTGCCATCAGCCTCGGCCTTGTTGGTCCACTTCTTGGTCTTGGGGTTGAAGTAGTTGTCACCCTATTCAATTACGTTAGCGACTCGGTTCGTGTCCTTGGGGTTGCAGAGTGATATAACATACCCACAGACGCTCAAGCATCTTCTTGCGGTCAACACCGAACTTCTTGGCGTACTTGACGGCGAACTGGCGGACGGTGAAAGCCCAGCCATGGAGACCGGAACCGAAAGCAACGGTACCGCGGTCGGGGTAGACCTGGACGTCACCGAGGGCCTTGTCCAGGTAGGTGGAGATGATGACGTTGACGGACTCGACAGTACGCGAGAAGGACTGGTACAGATCCTCCTTGGAGACCTGCAGTTCGAGCAGAGCACGGTCAACCTTGTTAATGATAACGACGGGCTTGATACGCTCGGTCAGGGCCTGACGCAGGACGGTCTCGGTCTGCACACAGACACCGGAGATACAGTCGACGACGACCAGGGCACCATCGGTAACACGGAGAGCGGCCGTGACCTCAGAGGAGAAATCAACGTGACCAGGAGAATCGATCAAGTTGATCAAGAACTCGGAACCGTCGACGGCCTGAGGGATTTCCTTCAGATCCTCGGGGTCGCTGAACTGAGCGTAAAGGGAGATGGCAGTGGACTTGATGGTGATACCACGGTCCTGCTCATCGGGACGCGTGTCCATGTAACGACCCTCACCAGCCTTGGCGGCCGAGATGATACCAGCACGCTGGACCATGGAGTCACTGAGAGTGGACTTTCCGTGATCGACTATGCCATCCGTTAGTACGGACAAGGGTTCACTGGTAGGGAATGTAGATCGACGTACCGTGAGCAATGACCGACATGTTACGGATGTTGGCCTTGCGGTCCATCAGGGACCGGATCTATTCCATAGTTAGTGATGATGCCTTCTTTCAATTTTTCTCGTCTGCCAATATTTCTTTCTTTCGCTCCTCATCGAGTGATAATCTGCAGTTTTTAAATAGGCGCGGGGGATGTATACGGACCTCTTCGATAGTGAAGCTGTAAAAACCATCGTTAGCACACTGGTTCCAATGTCTCCTTGAATATCCAAAGCTCGTAGCAAAGCAAGCAGAAGAGGGAGAACGTACTTAACCATCTTGACGGTGTTTCCTTGTCAAGAGCCTTAGAGGCGGGGTATGTGATAAGAAAAGAAAAAAGAGAAACGACACACAAGGATCCTGATCGAGGACTAACTCGACCTTAAGATCAATAGGACAAAAGGACCTATGTGCGCTACTCCAAAAAGAACGGAGAACTGAGGGCTTCACGGGGGAAGGTGAAGAGGGAGAGGGAGAGGAAGACGAGGTGGTCGGCAGAAGAGGGGAAGAGAGAAAAGCGAGAAGTGGGGACGGCCGGCGAGGATTTTTTCCCATTTCAAATCCGGGATGTGCGTTTTTCGCCCAGTTTTCCCGCTTACCTTGAGGTATGCCCCTCGTTATCTTACCGTACCAGGACCTGTGAATCAGCTCTGATGAGCTCTGCTGAATTCCGATGATCGATTTACTTTCTGGCCTGGTCCCGCGCAGGGCATTCCGACTCACTGCACGTCCGCACGGTCGCTCGATGTCGCTCGACGTCGCTCAATACTCTACATCGCTCTACAGTTAACTCGATTTGCCTCTTCAACCATGGTTAATCCATCCAGATGGCTCATCCTGTGAGTCACCGAGAAAGAGCACTGTCAGCGGCAAAGTATAATGGACAATTCCCAATGATATATCTCTGTACAAAAAGGACTCTTCCCTATGGACTCTTGGATGTCCTGTAACTCTGCTGGTCATACGGCGTTATTACCAATCATTCTTACATATTACCAGTTGTTACCAGATTGATCCGGTCGTGCAGCAACTCGCCACCAGCTCGTCCACCAACCCTACTTGAAACTGCCTAGCACTGCCCTGGGGGTTTCTGTTGATTACCAAGCCCTTTTGGCCTCTGTGGCATGACCGTGTAATAAACCAATTATTTTTATCATCCTCATCATAGTAATAATTAGAATAATAAATCTCCGTGTCATGGAATGGAAGCTTCCTGGTGAGCTCGAAGTAGATGATGTAAGAACCGAACAAAGAGAAAGTGCGGATTGCATGACATGCACATACCTGCAGATACATACATACATACATACTGTACAGCATCTCCCCTCTTCTTTTAACTCCTGCTTAACTCCGTTTGGGCAGGCATGGAGGGGCCTGCAGATTCTGACTCGGCCCATTTTTTTCTCCCTCCCTTCCCGCACCGGAGGATACACCGAGGGGGCAGCCCAGGACTTGGAAGACTACTACAATACGGAGTAGTAAAACACACAACAAGTTAACCACTGCCCTGATCTGACATCGAATTAGCATCATCCGGTCGCCTAAAACATTGAGAAAAATTTTCTCACCATATCAGGATTGAAACTTACTAGTTACCCTGGCTGACTAAGGCCCAGCGCATGTGCCCTCAACGGTTCATGCCTTTGGCTGGAATTTAGCCTTTTGAGGTGCTCGATTTTGGTTGTATTTTCAGATGCTTATTGTTTGCAGTATGGGAAGAAACCGTCGCTCTATTTTCTCGGTGTCACTTTTCGGGGACATTTGGGTACTTCGGTCAGTAAGGGAATAAGTGGTCAGTGGCATTATATATAGGTAGCTCCACCAGCTCTCGCGGAGCATGCCAAAAAATGTACAATAGAGCAGGATACTTACTCGACGAAGACTGTTTTTTTTTTTCTCCATAAGAAACATGCGGGGAAGCATAAGCTTCGTAAGGTTTGCTGTTGACCGATCTGCCGCGCCTGCAGTATCAGTAACGAAAACAGGTCGCTACCAAGCTAGAATGACTAGAACTCATTCCCGGCAGAATGAGAAAAGCCCAGACAAGAGCTATATATGCTTAGTTTTGTGTTTTGATCCGTGGTTCCTGATAATTCCTACTTCGGTGTGTTGTATACTCGCATACCCACTGAATGATAGTATGTATGATCATCAATATAGTGGGTTAAAACAAGGTAAAGTCTCTATCTGGCATCATTTTTCCATTGACAAGTTCTATCCTTAAATTTATCTGCATGCGTATATCTGTAACATCCCTAGTCGGAGAAGCAAAGAACTAACGGCGCTTGGACATGGCATTGAAGGGAAATCCTCGAATAACCCCAAGAGTACGAAGACAAAATCACTCAGTATCGTGGGGCATGGAGAGTTCTTAGATCTTCCATCATCTTCGAAATAGTCTACGCTCGTGTATCCTGCCTCATAGAGTGAATGTGGATGCAAAATCCAAGTCTATCAAGATCAGATAAGATTGCCCCTGAGAATCTCCCGATGCCGTTCAACGTTGCAACCTTCGTAGCTTGTACAACCTTCATTCAAACATACGGATCTACCTATCTACCAGACTGCCACCCCGAATCCATCATCCATCTGATTCAATTCCTACTACACAACATCGCGATATGACAATATGCAAGTGCAACCCGATATGAGAACCTTGGCGGATGCCGCACGGGGCCTTGGCGCTCAATGCCCAGCGTCTAGTGCCCCAACTTCGAGGCTGTGCCCCCCGTGTCAAATCAAATGGCTTAGGATCTTTTGATCTGATAAATCTGTCGAAAGTTAAGCTCTCTTGTCGTGGCCTTGGTATCCCTCGTTGTTCGTGAACCAACTCCCAGATCTCCCCCAGATTCACTACCAGCTCGGAGCTAGATACGGACACTACATACAAGCCGGCAAAAATGACTCCGACGCTGACGGATCCGTTCGATCTCCTACAATACAAGACGTCGGTAGCCGAACAGCGACGCTGGGTGCCGTTTTCGAAATCCGACGACAACGAGAAGAACGATTTCTACCGCCAGCAAAATGAGATGATCGACGGGTTCTTAGGGAGCGCCGACGAGGAGCGTCTCAAGGCCGAAGATACCGCAGAGAACGGAGGCAAGGTGAAGCTGGCGGTGCGTGCCAGTTTCGTGGTCAATTTCTGCCTGTTCGTCATCCAACTCTACGCGGCCATCTCTACCGGCTCGCTCTCCCTCTTCGCCACCGCCGCCGACGCATTCATGGACCTCGTCTCGTCCATCGTCATGCTAATTACCTCACGCATGTCCTCGCGTCCCAAGCCATACAAATACCCCGTGGGACGGAGACGTATCGAGACGATGGGTGTCATCATGTTCTGTGCCCTGATGACCACCGTGGCCGTGGAGCTGATCATCGAGTCGGCCAAGTCGCTGGCCGGGGGCGAAACGGACTCCGATGACCTGGCCACGGTACCGATTATTTGCGTTGGCGTGGCGATTCTCTGCAAGTTTGTGCTGTGCGTGTATTGCTATGGCTTGCGGCGGTATCCGGCAGCCGAGGTCTTCTTCATCGATCATCGCAACGATCTGGCCGTGAATGGCTTCGGTCTGATCATGTCCGTTGTGGGTGACCGGTTCGTGTGGTATCTTGATCCTATCGGAGCATGCTGCATTGCTCTCCTGATTCTGTTCTCGTGGGCCTCGACCGCATTCGAGAACATGTGGCTGTTGGTCGGAAAGTCCGCTACCCGCGAGTTCCTGAACAAGGTTGTCTATGTGACGTTGACGCACGACTCGAGAATCGAGAAGGTCGACACTGTAAGTCTAATCATGTCCCCGTCGAATTGTTATCACGACTGACCCGTCCAGTGCCGCGCATACCATGCCGGACAGCAACTCTATGTCGAAGTTGATATCGTCATGGACCCGGAAACCAAGCTGCGCGAGTCTCATGATGTGAGTCAAGCCCTGCAGCGCAAGTTAGAGGGTCTCGCCGACGTCGAGCGGGCATTCGTGCATGTCGATTATGATTATGCTCATGACATCCACGAGGAGCACAGACCCCTGTATGACCAAGTCGGGTCTAATTCATCGATCAGGACATTGGTGAAGCGGTTCTTGTTCAAGGATGACCAAAAGACTGATGGAAATGGATCAGCAGTTTGAAGATGGGATTATTTTCTCAGATCATTGATGTTTAAAGCGGTGCCAGCAATATAAATATGTCGTAATATTAAATTCAAGTTAGTTTGCTAGATTAGCCATGAGCGAGGCAGGCCAAGAAGTGGCAAGCCTCTATTGTTTAAGGAAGGAAAAGCATGATTATAACATTGATTGCCATTATTGAATCGACTTGGGTGTCAAGATCTCCTTATGGATTGACTTGGACGAGAGTATGAGGACATGATTAAGACCAGGGACGGATGAAGCAATCACGGGGTAGGGCTAGGGCACCACGTGTGGGTCACCTGCCCAGCTCTCAAGGTTCACCCGATCGGGTAAGTCTTCTATCGCCCCCAAACATCACGCATCACATCTCTTCTTGGAGATACGAGTCATCAATTTTAACCAAACCTTCTAGTTTTTCAATCAAAAGTTCTTCTAGGGAGACTATTGCAGACTGAAAACATAAACATCACGATATATTACGATGATGCCCTCGCCGCTATCTACTGTACTATCTACATAGATCAATAACATCTGGATTCTAGACATAGATGATACCGCATCGACGATTCAAATAGGGCTGCAGGGGATAATCGACGGCCCCGAAGATCCTTCTCATTTGACGTACCAGACTGCCCAGTCTCAACGCCGCCAATAGATGATCCTTCTCTTCGGTGGCGTACCAGGAAAACGCATTGCCAGTCTTGGCTATCCACAGGCCCCAATGAAGAATTGTCGAAGCTTGCGAGCTCACTCATAGCCATAGCCCCCGGGTAGGCGGTGCTCAACCGAGAGCCCAACAATGTCGAGTTTCATCTGCCTAGTCCGAAGGTTCTTGAAGGGGCTTCGGACATAGGACAAGGGATAAATAACAGTGATGGTACTTTTCCCTGCGAGTGTCCACGCCTTCTTTCCTTCAACCCTATACACATACCAAAGATCCCTCTATATATGGTCTATCCTAATCTATTCACTCTCTGCCTCCCCATATAACTAGACCAATCTATATAGATATACATATCCGACATCAACGATGTTCGGCGACGGCACCGTCAAATACCGCCACGGCATCGCCATCGCGCAAGTCATCACCTTCTCCGTCTCTCTAGCCTTCAGCATCTGGTTCTACCTGCGCGGCTGTATCGGGTGGTTCTGCATCGGCATGCTCTCAATCATCCGTCTCGTCGGCGCCAGCTGCATGCTCGGCACGATCAACAAGGACGCGGACGGGCTCTGGGCCGGCGTGTTCGTCTGCGAGTCACTCGGCATGATCTTGATCATTTTCTTGTTACTTGAGATGTTGGAAAGAATGTATGTCTTCTCCTTCTTCTTTCAACTATACTCCCCCTCCTCCCCAAACACCCAAACACCCAAAATCAAAAAGCCCAAACTAATCCCCATCCAGAAACAAAACCCACCCCACAACCCCCCGCCTAGTATTCATAATCCCCCAACTCCTAACCTGGATCGACATCGGGATCTCAATCGCGGGTTTCATCGCCGTCACACACAAAGAACACGCCCTCCTACCAACGCCCTACAGCCGTACCGGGATCGCGCTAATCTTCGCAATCTACCTCTGGACAGTCGGCGTGTTCCTCACATTCTACCTCCACCGGGGGAGCTTCGCTACTGTTGAAAAGAAAACATGTCTTTGTGTCGCGATCTGCGTGCCGATATTGGCTGTGCGGGTGACGTATTCGCTCATTTTTGTCATTACGGCGGATATGGCGTGGAATGCGGTGAAGGGGGATTCGTCACGGTATTTGGGAATGACGATGGTGCCGGAGTTGGGGATCGTGGCGTTGTGTACGTGGACGATATTGGGGATTCCGGCGTTGGAGAAAGAGAAGAAGAAGAAGAAGAAGAAGAAGAGAAAGGGTGGGAAGGATGTGGAGGGGGATGCTGGAAGTCAGGAGATTCCGTTGGTTAGGTGAACTTAGTTAAGAGGTACAAGTTTCTTTTGTATAGACTTATTGATGTTGAATTGGATAGCGATGGTTTAGAATTGAGTAGATATCCAGCTTTAGGATACACATGCAACTACCTTACGAATAATGACAACGGCAATAACAATGACAAGAAATGATTATGTATTAACAAATAAAAACTATATACAGACTGTAAATACTAGACAAGAAGGGGAAAAATGAAATGCGGCTGGGGTATATATACAATCTTTGCCATATGGATCGAGATCAAGAAGACCCTAGAATCTTCGCATACGCATCCTCGACTTCCTTTGCGACCTCCAACAAGGTCACAATAATGATCTGATGCGTGATATTCGGCAACTTATCCCTCTGCAACCCAATCCACTCCAACGGCGGCGTGGCCTCACCCATATCACGCAGCTGAGGGGTCTCGATGACAGGCGGCTCCAACGCAATATAGGTATTCTTGGACTGAGGCACGTTAACCACGGCGGTGATCTTCTCCTGCTGATCGTTCTTGTCACCACCGCCCTCGCCACCAAGGCCGCCGGTGATGCGAACCGCGGATGGCGGTAACGGCTTGCCCAGTCGCGAAGCCAAGGCGCGCGAATGCGTCTCCCACATGTCTCGGATGAAGCTGATGCGGGAGTAGTTCCATCCGACGTCGACCTTGCCTTCGAATGTGCTGCGGAAAATGTATTCGATCTGAGGAATGCCCGGTTCCTGCCACGTCTCCATGGTGGCAACGAGTCGGGGTACCTTGAGGATGGTACCGCCGCTTGAGCCGATGACGCGGTTGGCGATTTCCCCGACGAGAAGCTCCTCCATGCCCATGGAGTTCGGACGCACGATTCCAGACAAGGCGACGCGCAGCTGGCCCAACGTGAGACCCAGGGCGCTGTGGATTTTACCATCGTCGAGGGAGACATCGAAACGGGCTTTAGCGTCACGGGCTTCCAGCTTCAAGACATGGTTGTCGAAGAAGGAGCTGGGAAAGACGCCGATGTTCACGGTGTTGATCGTGACCACGATTCCGGTGTGTAAGGAGATAGGAGCTTTCTCGGCCTTGTCATCTACCGGTGAATCCGGGTCCTTGCCGGGAGCCTCGGTTTTACCTGTGAAAGCGGTGGACCTTCGTCGTAGATATCGTTCGACTTCTCGCAATGAAGCTTCATAGGCTGCTTGTTTATCTTGAATGAGTCTCTGCCAAGCATGGTAAAGCGCGATCGTCTGCGATGCAGTTAAGCTCGTACAGAAGACCTGCACTTGATTTCCTTCCAAGGTACTAAACAGTCGCTCGCTTGGTGCACCCGACTCGGTTCGCACATTGTACATCAAAAAGTCAAACATGGCGATGTCGGCAATGAGGAAAGGTTGGTAGTCAAAGGAGACCTTCACCTGGAACCGTTGGAAGGAAACGGAGGCCTGAATGAGCGGCGTCTTGATGTTGAGACTGGCGTCGGGCCACTGTATAGAAGTCTGCAGCTTGAGTTTTTGAAGTTCAATGAGTCCGCTCATTCGGCCTTTGCTTTCGATGCCCGCCGTTTCAAAACCGACGCAAAGAGTCTGCTCTCGATCGGATGATTTCTTCGTAGATAGCCAGAGACCATTTATGGCAAACTGGGCTTTTCCGAGCGACGATCCTAGATCAAGCTGAATTTCCAACTTCTCGACCGCAATAGTGGTGTTCCATGGGAACGCGGGCGCCGAAGCAACCTGTTGGTACCGCTGTACAATGTAGGCCTGATTGTCTTGTGATTGCGGCGGGAATGAAGGACTGGCATCTGAGTCCTCCATTGACGGCACCCAGATCTCGCGGAAGAGCAGAAGATCCTGGACTTGTTTGGCATTAAGGATCACTTGCATTGGGCTGATCCTGAGGACGGCGGAAATGCCCTTTGCGCTGCCTAGATGTTTGCTGTTCATCACGGACATCACCATTGAATTGACCTCGAAACTAGCCGTTGATTCGTTGGAGTAAACGTGTTTCACAGACGCTCCTAAGGAATTGAAAGCAACCTGGAGAGCGAAGAACCGTCCATATTCTTCTGACTGCACCGTGTTGACTGTAACATAGGCGTTGTCGAATTTGGCAGTAGCGGCCACCCTGGCGATGGGTTGGCAGCTGAGACTGAATTCCTGTTTGCAGATCATGAGGCCCACATTCAGCTTGCAACGCCCGAGAATCGAGTCGTTGTCCTTCTTTTCGAGTTGAGTGTCCTGCATCAGCTTTTGCGGTTGTAACATCACCGCAGTGGATGCTCGGCGGGGACTTCCTCCCTGGTTTCCTTGGTCTCCCATGACTTCCTTGACAGTCTCAGTCATTTGCTTCACTAGAGGGACAAGACTTGGGTATAGAACATTCGTGGAGGCATCAACCTTCAACTCGGCATTGAGTGTCGAGTCTTGTTGATTGTCTTCGAACTGGACCTTCAAAGCCACCCCAGGAGCCCTGAGCGTTGCAGTAGGCGTCGCATCCCCTTGAATGTACTGGCCGTACTTTGCTTCCGACAAAGTGCCCTTCTTGAGGGTCGCGGTCAGCATTGTCTGGGGATCATCCGTCTGCGTCCCCTGTAGTGAAACGATGGCACCGGCAAAGTCGACATCCACCAATACTGACTGGAATCGCTTGTTTCCAAAGAGCGAGTCTTGTTTGGGGTTGTCCTCGGTTTGTTTGGGCACGAAGGTCGCATTAGCTTCACGAACGACTCTGCTAGTGGCAGCAATGGAATCCCTTGTCATGCTTGCCGGAAGGATGAAGTCGGATGTGAGTCGTATGTCAAGAGATTTACCAGCAGCCTGGAAGGCAAGCCGAACCTCGTCACCAGCTGAAGAATAAGCCACGTTAAACACCAACTCGGGCAACAAGGCCGAGTTCAGAGATCGTTTTTGCCTGCTAGCGGAGTATGGAACCAGCTGCAACTGCATATCTTCAATGCGAAGCTTCGCAGCGTTTGCTTTTTTGTTCGAAAGATCCACACTCTTGATGGAGAAAACCAGGTCGTCCGGCCTACGCACAGACGAAGGCACTGGCACTGTACTCATATTCCAGGCGATCTGGATGTTGTTGAAATCCAACGAGTACATGGCACTGAAGAAATCGTCTGATTTGGAATCTTCGTTTACTTGGGTATCAGGGACTTCCAACGCTTTCTTCTTGGACTCCGGATGGCCTCGTCGCCGCAACTTCTTCAAACGTTTGACCTCGTGTGAAAGGTCCAAAGTCTTGATACGTTCCTGGAGATGAACAGCCATATCTACCACCAGTTCAGCCGTCTCGGAAAATAGTTCAACGTTGAACTGCTTGCTGCTGAAATGATAGACTCGCCTCAGGTCACCGTTATCACGTCTAATCGAGGTAGCTTCGAGTTTAGCGTCAACGGTAAAACCACAATAGGATCGGCTTTTGAATGCCTCTTGCCGTCGGAGATCGAAGCTGACGTTGGAGGTATCGATGTGGAACTCGGGATATTCCATCTCAACCCCATCTTCAAAACCATTATCCAGGCGCATGCGCATCATTCCAAGGCTGAAGTCCATGTCTGCCGTATAATTTTTCCCGTTAACAGCAGGTGCAGTGGCATGAACTTTAGTTCCCGCCATAGTCATGCGTGCTTTGTAAAGAAGCGCATGGCCATTGGACGGCTTCCTTTGCTGAGGGGGAGATTTGTCCAAGTCGAGAGCATCGTTGAGATGGAGTTGCAGGGTCTCCAGATTCTGTTTGAGGTCTGACATGAGATGTGAGAATTCAGGAGTCGCCAGAGCACCCAAAAGACTTCGCACTGCACTGGCTTCCAGCTGGATAAGTTCGATAGTGACATCAACCTCCATATCGGTTCGATTAGACGACAGATTCGCAACAACCCGACCGTTGATGGGCGGAATTTCTAATACTGACAAAGGACGTCTGCCACCCTTTTCGCCCGACATGAATGTGTGTAGATTCTTCTTCAGATCGAAATCCACCTCGATTTTCGACTCCATCGTCTGTATGATGGATGCTCGGGCAACATCTCCAGAGATAACGTATGTCAATGACGGCAAAACGCAGAAGCTCAGCCGATAATCATCCAAGAACATCGCAATATGAAACCTGTTATGCGTCGTCTTCGTTGCTGCAGGCGCTTCGCTCAGTTTGCGAGCCGGAAGATCCAGATTGGTCGCTAAGCGGCGAATGTATCGGACCTCGTCTTCGATTAGTCGATCTGCCGTATGGGCAAGGTTGATCAGGTCTTCCTCCATGACGTATAAAAGCTTTTTGCATGATCCGGCAACCTTCCACTCATGGTTGATTTCAGTCTCACTTTCCTCAGACACCCGAGAAAGATAGACATGCGGGCTGCCAATCTTCCAAGACATGAGAACCTTGGCCAGATTTGATAATTCAGAAAATCCCGCTTGAGCACTGAACAAGACAGCCATGCCAGCGGCACCGTCAACAACGGATCCTTTAAGACCCTGGCTAATACAAGCCAGCTTGATATTAATGCCATCCAGAGTGATCGATCCGAGATCAGTGCCGAAAACAACCTGCAACTCGTCCCGCTCTTCAGCCTCGCCGCCTGAATCATGAGTTCCTCCAGGGGCAGTGGACTCCAACTGAACGTTAGCCATTGTATTCATCACACCTTCGACAAGTTCCAAAATCTCCCATCTCAAGCGAAGGCTGATAGAAGAAGAATAGGTCCGAATGACATTCAAACTCTTGTATCGCTCCTCATTCTTTGAATCCATGTACTGTTGCGGACTGACGGTTACAGCCGTGGACATGTTTTCAACTATGAAATCGCTTTCTTTTGGTCCCGGATCGATAGAGAACCTGAACATTTTCACTGTAGAGGAAAATAACAATGGCGTTGGCGAGGTCTTGGACTTGGTTGGAGCAAAAGAGTCCCATACTCTTTGCATAACGTAGCTTTTTTCAACATGTGCCAAGTCCCACGCGCGCCACTGGTCGAAACTATTGAGAACAGTCATCCGGGCATCTTGCGGCAGTGACAAGT